AAGCCATAAAACGTAATAGGATACTGTAAAATAGTAATAAAAATGTTTAAGCACCAAATTGGTTCTTGCATCGTCGACCTATCACCGTCGATTTCTTTTCTTCTTCTTTAACCTACATCTCTGCCCTTTGTTCCGTCGTGGCGCAGCTGGAAGCTGGAAATCTTGTACCGCGTTAATAAGAGTTTGCGCTAGTGACGCGTGCAGGGTAAGTTTATTTGACGAAGGTTTCGTTGGGAAATACGGTAACCAACGCGTGGTCTCGTAGTTTATTTCCGAGTCACCGGGAGAAAGAGATCGACGAGACGTTTCGCTGCCATGGAAGAAGTCCTATTTTTGATGATCGCCGAAGATGACGGGGCGTCCAACGACGCAGAATTCGGGAATATATATCCGCGCTGTTTTTGGAGTTAAAAAAGACCCGACGGGGGAGGTCACGAAGTTGGCCGACTTTTCCACAAGATAAATATTCACCGCGTTATTCTCGGTACTTCGTAACTTTCCACGAAATTTTTCGAGCAAACTGATACGCGATATTCGAAATCTCGAGCAAGCTGGAAATCGATTTTCATCGATATACCTGTATCCATGTTCGTTTTACAAACCACAGTTAACACGAGTGTCTTCATTTACATTCCCTGCTTCGAATAAATTTTGTTCTATCAACAAATGTGATCGTAATACAATTTTTATTTATTTATTTATTTATTAGGAGGTAATAAATAGCATTGCCATGTATATACAAGAAATATGGATGAAATAATAATATGGACAAGTTGAAAGGAGAACACGTTAACAATGATTATTTATTTATTTATTTATTTATTTATTTATTGGGAAGTATTAAGCAGTATTGCCTCAATGTATAGGCAGCAAATATAGATAAAATAGTAATATGGACAAGTTAAAATGAGAAAACGTTAACAATGATTATTTTTTTATTTATTTATTTATTGAGAAGTAATAAGCAGCATTGCTTCAATGTATAATCAACAAATATAGATAAAATAGTAATATGGACAAGTCAAAATGAGAAAACGTTAATAATGATTTATTTATTTATTTATTTATTTATTTATTTATTTATTGGGAAGTAATAAGCAGCATTGCCTCAATATATAGACAACAAATATAGATGAAATAGTAATATGGACAAGTCAAAATGAGAAGAGGGAAGACGTTAACAATGATTATTTATTTATTTATTGGGAAGTAATAAGCATTGCCTCAATGTACATACAATAAATAAGGATAAAATAGTAATATGGACAAACTGAAAGGAGAAGACGTTAACAATGATTATTTATTTATTTATTTATTGGGAAGTAACAAGCATTGCTTCCATGTACATACAATAAATACAGATAAAATAGTAATGCGGACAAGTCGAAAAAAGTCGTTAACAATAATCGATAGAAACCTCATAACACTCTCCGATAATCCATAATGATCTAACCTCTTTATCATAATAATTTAAAAATCGTAAATTAGTTCTAAAACGAGGACACGTTAAATGTAATCAATTTCACAAATAAAGAACAGCTAACGATATTATTAATAATTCATACACGATCAATTACCAATCAATTTCACGGTTGCAGCTGAAACTATAATCCACGATATTCATTTCGAGCTTGTTACATCCCCTACTCGAAATAAAACGCCATCCATCGACAAGCGTAATCACGCCACAATTCCAACGATACCAAAGAGTAGCCAGCGCCATTACATTCGATCTCTAACCGATCTTACACTCGCAACCCATATCGTAACTCGCAATCTTCGTTCCAAGCTTGTTAAACCCCCTGCTTCGAATAAGACGTCTTCCGCCAACGAGCATAATCGCCGTAGAATCTCAACGGTACGGCAAAGAAGCTACTGGATCACAATCGACTTCTAATCGGTTTCACGCTTGCAGCTCGCGTCGTAACCCACAATTTTCTTTTCTGTCTTGGAATTTCGCCATTTTTCTCATCGACAGACATAAATATTCGTAGCACATTCCCGACTCGATCTTAACGACCTTCCGTGCCGATGCTTACAAAACTGGTAGCCATTAACACGCGGAGGGATGCGAACGGCGACAAGATCGGACCGCGATCGTTTCCATGGATCCTCCATGTATCAATTACACACCTCGGGAAAGTACGTACTTTACATCCTGCATCTTGTTTCTCGCGACGCGAGCCTAAGTCCATTCTCGCTCTATCTCTCACACGATGTGTGTATTTCAAATTCATGCGAGATAACGGTGTCGGGACAAGCATAAGCTAATATTGTTCGTTCGTGGACAAAAAGGGGACGCGATAGAGAGTGCGAAGCGAAGAAATTACCGGAGTCGATACGTGTGTTACCTGTTTACCGTTACCATGATTCCGTGCGACTCCTCCGATCCTCGGCAACGAGGTGCTGCTTTTTCTCCACGATTCGTGTCCAATTTTTATACCGTTCTTTTATCCTGCCTCGTCGAGCCTCGACCGCGAGCAGTCGAGTTAAATCGCCAAGTCGTCGTGGTAGAAGTCGATTTTATAGTACTCTATAGTTAGACAGAAATCGAGATTTCCGTAATGATTCATGGCTCTGAGGTCTTATGGCAGTCGTGTCAGGTGTAATTTGGTTGCGATGGGTGAGAATCGGTGTTTGAATACTCGTAATCGGGTTTTTATTCGGTTGGTCAGGGACTCGAAACCGATTTTCGCAACAGAAAGTATAATATTTCGAAATTAAAAATTTGATGTGACGAAGAAAAATTGAAATTCTGTTTTCTTTCCAAGAGTTGACATTTTTGCGGATTTTTGATAATACTATAGGCGACTGGGAGAAATTGATATCATTTAGGACACGTCAAGTAAGAAACACGAGTATGTAAAAATTATGACAACGAATCCCATAAATCCCTATAAAATATTCTAAAGAAAAATATCGTGTCTCTTTTTCTAAAATCAAAATAGAAAAGAGAAATTAGTTTCTCTCATCGTTATCTAAAAATTAGTCTGTTCTTTTATTATTGCTGGCATGAAATTGACTACTATCTGTGCTCGATTGTATATGGTATAGCTTTCGGCGACAGAAAGTATAATATTTCGAAATTAAAAATTTGACGTGACGAAGAAAAATTGAAATTCTATAAATTTTCTTTCCAAGAGTTGACACTTTTGGAGGATTTTTGATAATACTATAGGCGACTGGGAGAAATTGATATCATTTAGGACATGTCAAGTAAGAAACACGAGTATGTAAAAATTATGACAACGAATCCCATAAATCCCTATAAAATATTCTAAAGAAAAATATCGTATCTCTTTTTCTAAAATCAAAATAAAAAAGAAAAATTAGTTTCTCTCATCGTTGCTGGTATTAAATTGACTACTATCTGTGCTGGATTGTATATAGTATAGCTTTCATTTATATACCGGTCACTTGACCGGTTTGATAGGAACAGCTAGGTATGAATTATCGACGAGTTTAGTATTAATGATAATACCTATGTAAATGTCAATAAAGAAAAAAGTTATTTAACGATCGTAATGTTATTGATATTCGTTAAATTGCTAAAAATAATTTGATAATTGGTAGGATTATAAAAATCGCGAGGCTCGGTAATATCGAAGGATCTAGCTGCTACGGAACGAAGAAAATTTCTCATCGTTAATGCTAGGCAATGCTAATCTGTGCTAGTGGATGTCTTGTTCCAAGAATATCGACGATTACGCAGGACGAACTCACGGTATGGAGAACATTCCGCGATGAGTCTGGAATTATTCTCTCTTATTTACAATCGGTTGAAAACGCGCTCTTGCTATGCCGTTTTCCTTGAAGATCCTCGATCGAGGCCGCGTTTCGCCAGCTAGGACACTGGGGAGAGTGGAGAATGGCCGATGAATATCGATTCGACGTTCATTGATTCGTCGAACACGATTTCTTGCTATTGTTACGATCGCTTGATACGAGTCGCGTTACGCTACTGTTAGCGATCACGTTCCACGTGTAATACGGTAAATGCATATGGAAGGTATGAAACTCAATTCCTATGAATTCTAACGTCGATACCGATATCGACGCGACGCCTTTCAATGGTATTACGCCGGCCATTGTTCTCGGGGTACGTTGATTTCTTACTCTTAGCATAACGCGATAACGCGTAATTTAACGATACTTAATTCTATCAAATTTTAACTCTCGATACTTTACAAATTTCTGGTTATCCGGTATAATTTAATATTCGCATATAAAGTGATATACGTAATTTAAGGTTACATGGTAATTTCGTGTTTCATCGAAAATGTGGGTTTTAATTAAATTTCTTATTAGTCGTTGCGAATCGTAGTATACGAGAAAAATGATTTGGTTGAATTTGTTATTAATTGAATACCTTAGCAAATTTGATTTTTATTGGCAATGAAGTTGCAGGAAAGAAACGAGTCTGATTCAATTCCGGATGCTAATTTTATTACAGAATGTTATTACGGAGGCGGAATTTGGTCCCGGTACATTCGCACGTTTTTCAGCAATTTACCTTAATCTGTACAAGAAAATTGGCCATGAAGGATCACGCTGTTGTCCTCTTTATTGTTTCCGCAAAATTTGTTTCATGATTATGTAGCGAGACTTCCGTATGATCGTCGTTTTATGGGCCCCTCGTTCTCTGCCCTGCAATTTACCTACATTTTGCCTAGAGGCATAAAAAATATTTTCTCCTCTTAAAGAGTCGCGGTGAAACGTGTCTAGAACTTCCTGGAATTTGGAAGGAAATTTTCAACGTCTTCTTCGTTAAACCGATTCCTTAAATGAGATGCACAATCACGCTAATTTATTCTCTATCTAACATTTTGAAAAGCCTTTTAAAAGACATTTTAAACAAATTTCTGAAAAGCTCGTTAAGTCCAAAAAAATTAATTTTGATATACGAATATCAAAGATCGCGATGTTATAAATAAATTTAAATATTTGACGACGTTCGAGTAATGACATTTCGATTTCTCTCACACGCAGATGACACTGACCTAGCTGACGCAGGATGGCTTCCATCATGGGGTTACAGCAACCTGCTGCATCCCAGGACACCGTGGATTACACTGGATATTTGCAATCGTCTCAGTGTCATCAGGTCCATGGAAGTCAAGCAAACGGACAGATCCAGTCTGCGCAGAAATCACCGTCCAATGATCACAATACCAGCTTCACCAGCACCAAAGGATTGCTCAATGGACCAGGTCAAAATAATTGTTTCCTCAACAGCGCTGTCCAGGTAAGATAAATCTTCTTTATCAACGAATAATAAATTATTTCCAGGTTTCGTCGTTTTCAAAATTCCTATATACAATACTAATATACCAATATAAATAACAATATTATAACGAATAAGAAGTTTCAATCACGAAATCGTGATGGAGAGAGTGCAGCATAAATTTCTCAGGTTTCGTGCATATAAGCTAAACTACCCAATATCAATTTTTCATCATGATTACTCCGCGATATTAAATACTGTCAACCTGGAAACACTGTCTGCACGTAGGAGAATAGTTGACCATATTTTGATCTTTAATTTAATTAACAATCACACTGATTGCTCCTCTCTTCTTACAGAACGTGTATCGAGATCTAGAGCAGGTTTTCATATACATATGTGCAGATCTACATATGGATTAATTAATCCAATTTATCGTATTATTACTCACTCAAACACTCTTAATAATCGTATAGATTTTCTTTATGGGTCTTTACAATCTTTCAAAAGACAATTACGGATGATTATTGATTAAAGCTAGTCCTCCTGAACGAAACCTTTATAAGCACGTCCCTTCTGCGAGTAAATGTATAAACTAATAAGAATATTTATTTAACACAACAACAGCACAACATAAATTATAACTAAATTTCGTAAAATAAATTCGCTTCTAACTGTGAAATAATCTCTTGAGGACCCTCTCACACACAATGTCTATTTATAATGACTGTCATTCACCTACTGATTGTTTTTTCACGACTCTCTGTCATATTCGCCATACACACATTCTTCCACACAATACACTCATACCACACATTCTATGACAACCACTACCACACCTTCGGTGTTATATTAGATATAATTTCCTTTCTTTTCTTTTATATGTGAAATTTTATGTAAATGGACTACGGTCCGTTTATAAATAAAATAATAATAACAATAATATTATCTATATCACAGTAATACGATTTCGATAATTATTTCGCGTAGCACCGATTCTCGCGAAATAAAACTGATCAGTGTAAAAATTCGATTACTAGAATAGGACAAATTCGCCTACGATAAATTCATCGGCATCGATTGCTCTCCCATTCAAAACGGGCAGAATTAAAGAGAGGAGTGCTGGAACAGTACGAAACTGTAACAAAAGCTGCGCTTCCTGCCTCGTAAATCACGATTCGTGATTCGCATGACGATCGAGGCAAATGGCTACCGATTCGTAGCCGTAGATCCGCGCGCGGAAGAAATTTCGCGCGAAGATGGTTGCACGGTTTATTAATGGAAACGATGCACGGTCAGGCCGCGGAGAGGTGTCTTCCCACGGACCGTTAGAATTTGCTATGTCGATCGGAACTGTTTTTCCCAGCTTTTGTGGAGGCCACGCTCTGTCCGATACGTAGCGGTAATTGTAACATCCGCAGGAAGCAATTACACACCGGGCTGGCTCGATTAGAACAATCGATCGGGATCGCGATCGGTGTAAACGCTCGATGGTCGATACAAAGGGGGCCGTGATCGAGCTTTGGCCTCTAGTTTCGTCGGGATTACCTAACGTTAATCGCGCGAAACGCTCCCGATTCCGAAACCTCTGCCCAGCGTAATTCGAGTAATGGCTGTCGGCTCGAACGCGTGTCTCAAATGCGAAAACGCGCCCCGTTTCCGTTTCCGTGCTAGGCCAGTCGTTACTCTTTTCACGCGAACTTGAGATGCGAGTTTTGTCGTTGCATCGAGTTTAATTCGAATAATCGGTGGGGAACTATGAATTTATCGGGGTTTTAAAAATTTTCTTTCATTTCCTTTTCCTTTTCTAATATTTTTTCTTTTTTTTCTGATTTATTTGGTATCGTCGTTTGAACGCAATGTTTAAATATAATTGGGGTTTATTTATTTTAGAGTTTAAATAAAATTTGTAATTGCGAAGTATAGTAAATTCGAGGATAATTCAATTCTTGCGCACCACCGAGTTTAATTCGAATAATCGGTGGGGAACAGTGAATTTATCGGGGTGACCGAATTTTTCTTTCATTTCCTTTTCCTTTTCCTATATTTTTCTCTTTTTTTCTGTGATTTATTTGGTTTTGTCGTTTGAATGTAATATTTAAATTATGCGTGTCTCAATTGCGAAAATCCGCTCCGTTACCGTTTCTCGTGCTAGGTCAGTTAGTACTCTTTTCACGCGTACTTGAGATGCGAGTTTTGTCGTGGCATCAAGTTTAATTCGAATAATCGGTGGGGAACAGTGAATTTATCGAAGGTACCGAATTTTTCTTTCATTTTCTTTTCCTTTTCTTATATTTTTTCTTTTTTTTCTGATTTATTTGGTATCGTCGTTTGAACGCAATGTTTAAATATAATTGGGGTTTATTTATTTTAGGATTTAAATAAAATTTGTAATTACGAAGTATAGTAAATTCGAGAGTAATTCAATTCTTGCGCAACTGGTTTTGTTTTCGAGACGACCGGGGATAGAGGGAATTTCGCAACGCAAGATTAAAGGATTAAGAATAATACACTACACGGTGTCGTTTTCGGAAGTGAATGTGTTTCAGAGATGTCAAGGCTAACTTCATTTTTTCTCAAACGGAATCGCGCGCCCGTTTCTTTAATACCTTAATTAACTCTTTCGCTGCGACTTAAATGATGCCTTGAAGCGTGACTGTGGTCGTCTGACATGTACACGTGTACAACATTCGAGCTACAATTTCAATTTTGTAAAATTAAAAATCGGGAACACCGAGTGAAAGACGTAAAAATATTCAATCGAAAAAGATCTCTATCTCTATCGAAATAAAACTAACTCTTTCTGCGATCGTCACGAACCAACCAACTATCGAAACTCGTATAATTATTACCCGATACGAAAATTCATTTCCCTAGTACGAAACAAAATTCGATCTCCTGTAACGGATAAAAAAATCATTAGAAAAATGTCGTATTTCGTGCAAAGCTTCGTGACTGGAAGCATGTACCGTAATTTTGCAACTCGTTTCATCGAACTTCGTTACCGAGAGCCCGCATCGTTTAATCCGGAATAATTCGGCAACAAAGGGAATAAAGGAATTTTTTCTCCGGCTCACCCAGTTAATTCGCCATATCCATCGATACTCCGATATTTCTGCCGAAGCTTCTCTTCTGCATTTTTTCCCCGCGAGTTCTGTTTGCGTTTCCAATATCGCCTCTGCACTCCTCGAGCCGCGTACCTCGCGGGACGCTGCGCGCCTTGCCGTATGCAACCGGATAGTCGGGCATGCAGTTCACCGTTTTCGAAAGGTTGCCTGCTACCTGTTCCATCAGGAGTTGGGCAGCAGCGCGGATCAACTGGAAAACAAATGTTTGCCCTGCGAAAAAGGGGAGAAAGTAACGCGTATCGGGAGCCACAGAGGAATGCGCGTATCCCGAGGCATCGAAATTCGATAACGAAATAGAGAAGCTGGTCCCCCGACGGGACTCGGGACCCGGTACGATCCATGGAAAATCGAAAATAACATTTTGACTCGAGACGATTTGTCAACGGGGATTTCGCGAGCTCGCAAATCTCGGAGAGGGAAGGAGAGGGTGTAATCCTGGCCGATACCGAGTCTCCTCCCTCTGTAAATCTCTTTAAACGGCGAATTCGCGAGTTTTTCTGAAACAGCTTCACGGCGAGACACCTTATGAGCCACCACGTTCAGAGTTTACGGCCACTCGTGGCCACCAAATCTTTAAGGCCTGCTATCTTCGAAAGCCTTCGAGGCAGACGTAAATATTCATGGCCGCTAAGTGACAGGACACGTGGAGAATCTTCGTAAGCCTCATCCTCTTCCAGCCTCTCGTTCGTCCCTCGTTTCTTCCTTTCTTATTTTGCTTCTTCTTTCTTCTCTTTTCCTTCCTTTCTTCTTTTTCTTCTTCGGTTTCTTCTTCGACTTCTCTCGTATCGTTTCGCCTTCCTTTTTCTTCGCGTTGCTCGGGGTCCTGTCTAATAATCAGCTCCAAAATACACCGTCGAGTTTTCCCCTCCCCTCGCGATTATGTTCCATCTCGGAGGAACGAAAGGTCAGGCTCTTGTTTGTTCCTGGTTAACGTCGTAACTCTCTTGAAGGCTCTCCGACTGATTGTTATCTCGCGACTACGAGAACTCTGACCGAGTAGGCACTCCGGGTTAATTGCCGGTGTGAATATCTTTTTTACCTTTTCTTTTTTACCCTTTTGTTCCTCTTTTTTTAATGTCAAAAGTCCATATTTTTCGGAGACTTTGAACGGAATTTCTTGTGTATCGAGTATTTCGGGGATATTAGGGATAATCTTAACCCCGAGATTATCTTGAAAATGAATATTAGAAATATTTTCTTTTCTTTCCTTTTGTATATTTTTAGGTCAGTGTAGAAAATTATCAAAGAGTTATTATTATATTAGAATATTAGAAATAGTTTTTTCTCTTTTCTTTTTCATATTTTTAGGTCAGTGTAGAAAATTATCAGAGAATTATTATTATTATATTAGAATATTAGAATATTAGAACTATTTCCTTTCCTCTTCTTTTGCATATTTTTATTGTTATTATTACGGTAATTATATGAGATATTTCAGTAATATTTTGATAATACAGATAGGTGAAACGACCTCTGGTGCATGTAAAAAATGTAAATTT